TCAGGACGTGTCTTTCCCCTTCTAGGGGATATATTTACAAGCTTCTGATCACTGATCTATCAGAAACTAGAATATGAAGGACCCTGAATTTTTGTGGGGTTTATTTTCCATCCTCTAGCTTTATATCTTACTGGTTTATTTACAATACGTATTATACCCTATATATCAGATGCAACCAGTATAAAGTTATAGATAAGTAGACATATATAGTGTTTTGTGGAATGTCAGGATGACCAAGATCTCTGTGAACAACATGGCAAGAGGCAGAAGAACTGACAGAGCTCTGAAGCAAAACTGTGAATGTTTCTGTTGATTCTGTGAAGTATAAGAAAATCTCTCTTTTCAAATTATCTTTTCAAACTGGTGTGGACAAAAAAACATTAGCTAGACCAAAGATGCTTACCAAGTACCAGGGGGCCATGTTGGTTTATTCTATTAAAAGTAGATTCAGCACAGCCCGTACCTGATTATATTTGTGATAGTAAATAACTATCATAAACATTCTCCACAATCTATATAATTTCTTCACAATCCAAAGAGAATAGTTAAATGCAGATGTGATAGCTCTGAACACGTTTGATCTTTTAAAACTTTTGATGGTGACATTCATCTCTCATGTCCCTGGAATAAAGTATTGCTTCTGTTTTACTGTCAGGAAGTTCTAGGGCCTTCCACTTGGCCTTTTCCACCATAATGGAGTCCAGCCATGGGTTGGAGGGCTGATGTATGAATACTTCCAGATACTAAGTATACTATTTCAATTTTGTATTAAGGCACTGAGGATACCTACTAATTACTTGGGCCCACTGTAGCCAGAATTGAGCTAAGACTCCATCTATCACCTGACTAAGGTTCTGTGAGAAAAGAGTTAACATAGCAAACCTGATTATTATTCTTTGAAAGCTCTGTTTAAACATTGTTCCTTGGGCTAGTATCTGGAGCCTCAGATTTTTGAGGGGTTCTCACCACCCTAAGTTGTAGAGTGATTCACTGTTTGTACAAACAATGTGGTTTATGCTGAAAATGATTTCCTTTAAGGAGTTTAGAGTTTTAATAAGGGCTAAGTAGAAAGGGGCCTATATATTCAGCTAACAATAAAAATCCTGGGCACTAAGTCTACAGTGAGCTTCTCTGGTAGGCAATATTTTACACTTGTTTTACAACTCATTGCTAAAGGAATAACCATTCTGTGTGACTCTACCAGAAGACTCTTGGCATCTTAACACTTGTTTTTCTTCAGAGTTTTCCCCATGCAAATCACTTTGCCAATTTTGCTTTGTATCTTTTTCCTGTAATGCATTTAACCACAAGTATGATTATATGTGAACTCTCCCAGTGAATCATTGTATGTGGGTGGGGATGTCTTGGGTACCATCAATACAGTTCTACTTTGGTGGGACACAGTGGGCATTCTGAGATTCTAGGAACTAGTGTCAATTGAGAGCCAGTGTCTAAGAATCCCCCCAAAGATCTGGGTATTCCCTTTTCTACAATATACGGTCATTCTAGTAAACGGCTTCAGCTTCCTTAGGGAAGCTTGCAGAAAGCTTTACAGAATGGACTCATGTGAATGCTACAGGCTCCTTCTCCAAGCTTTCCTGGGCTCCCCTTTAACCAATGGGCTCCATTTCTGAATAGAATTATACCTAGTGTGTGGATGAAAGGCTACAATACTCTTGATTTATGCCAAACAAGTCAGGATTTGACACACCAGATCTAGAGTTTCTTCTAGTATATAGCTTAAGCAATATTCTATGAGACTTTCTATTTCATTCCTAGATATCACAATCAATTAATCATAGTCAAAGATCCTTGTAGGCCAAGGCATTCTGACTACTGGTACTTCCCCTGCTGCCCCTTACAGTAAATGTGTCCGTCTTGTCTTTGGACTTTAATTGCTGTTTCTTTGCCTCTAATAATCTGGGGAGCTCATCCTCAGTTAAATCAGATAGTGCATCTCAGTGGTGGTATCCAATCTTCAATGAACTAATTAAACTATTAGAGCTGCCTCCAGCTGTTGAAGTTAACATGTTACATTTGGAATTTCTAGTAAATTCACCCACGAGTGACTTCTAATTTACTATATATCTTCCCTCCTTGCTCTAACACCCTCAGAAACTGCCCCTGCCTCATTAGTTTCTAATGATTATATATATAATAATATATATAATTATATACTAGCAGATTATTTCAATTTAGATTTGTAAGCTATTTCCTTCCAGGACCCAATGGTGACTTCACCTTACCTGTGCATCTAGTAGCCACAGCGGGTGATTCTGATATAACTTGAGGATCATGAATACCACCTTCACGGCCTCTCTCCCAGATAGATTCATCAGGAAATTTCCTCAAAGACAAGGGCAATTACTTCTGTGATGAGGCTCAGGGTGACCTGGGGTTCAACCATTTTTGTGGCGTTGGTGTGCTGCACTGGGTTAAGCAGTCGCCTGCAATGCCAGCATTTCACATTGAAGCATCGGTTGGAGTTCCTGCTGCTCCACATTAGTACCACATCATATGAGATCCCAGTAGATGGCAGAATTCAGCAGACTGCACAATTGAGAATTTGAGTAAAAGCTCAGGGAAGTCCCAGACTCATCTTCAGTGACAGAGGAGTAATTAACGAAAAGTTTCTGAATAAAATACGGGCCAGTAACCATGGTTAATATTCACTAAGTACTCACCATGATTCAGGCACTGGGTTGTAATTTATTCACACTACTGGGTGTCATGCACCATTTAATTCCTTTTACTGCAATCAGAATAAATCCTACAAACTCTGTCAAAGCCTTTTAGGTCCCAAATAATCTGCACCCCTGCCTACCTCTTTGACCTCTGTTTTTAGAAAGTTTCAGCCGCATATATCTTCTTTCAACTCCTCTCAGCTTACAGGTCACCTCCTCCAAGCTGTCCTTCTCAAGTAGCTCATTCTTTGCCTCTGTCTCCACATTGAGACTAAGCTTTCTTATATCATTTGTCATGATATTATTTATTCTTGCTTCTTTATTGTATGTTTATTTTGTATTTGTATTATTATTTGCTGTTTTTATTGACACTTTCAGAAATTATTATAGGAATAATGGAGTTGCAAAAAAGGAAATTTCAGTAACTTATTGAATCACCTATAATCAAGAATGTCCTAGATATTCACTTTCACTTTCACATTCAAAATAGGAACAATGTTCAGGTTTTGCTAAAACAGTTATGCAGATGACTGAGAAAACAATGCCACACATTTGATCATTTTTCTGAATTAGCAATCAGACTATAGACACATGGAGGAAATTTTCGTAAGTCATTTGAGATCTCATAAAGGTCTCAATTTCCTTTAGAAAGAAAATGCCATAAATAATGAAAACTACTAGGAGTGGAAAAAATAGCAACACCATCATTCAGTCCACATATATACTATTTGTGAGAATTTTTCATATACAAGTATATTTTGATTCTTACATCCACCTGTGAGCTAGGCAGATTTCAGTCATTCTAATGAGGTGTTTTCGCCCGCAAACATTGAAGTATGCCAAGAAAAGTTTGTTGTTGGACCTAGTATGTATTCAGAAAAAAAATAATAGGAAAATGTTGTTTCATTAACTTTAGTTTCTGAAATAAAAGTTCACCCTTTAAAGAGAATGTAATATAGTTCTGAAGTTCACTTTTGGATTCTTCTGGGATTCGTTCTTACTAAGCAACATTTTTAGTTGAGAGAAGTGTTTCTTTGAGAAGCAAATGGGCATGGACTGTTCAGAGGTAGGTGTTCTGAAAATTGGTGCTGGACTGTTGCCTTTGGAGCCAGCCATATCTAATTAAAGTTTCTTGAACTTGGAGTCTTACTGATATTTTCTGACTGTCTTCAGTAATCATAGGAAGTTTTTACTTTTACCCTGATGTTTAACTGTTCTGTTGCATGTTTTATAAGTAATCAGCAATAGTTTGTACTTTTTCACAATTTTTCCTTCTGTAAAACTGAGTGGAAGATTTCTTGCTTCTCAATTAAGAAGTTTCTGTATCTGGGTGTCAATCTGGGCTGGAGTTTGAGGCACATTTGAGAATTACCAGAACCAACAACTGGAAACAGGGCGGCCTTGTTTCCTCAAAAATGCTGTTATCGTTTGGAAGCCAAATGAGTAAGCACGTCAAGAAGACTGCTCCGTGGGTCAAATCCAGCTAACAGGTCAAGCAAGAGAAGGCATATTAAGCAATTCGGAAATTTCATAAAGAGAAGCATCTGGTTTTTTTGTTACTGAGAGGAGTAGGACGTTCAGCCTTCTCTCTTGCATCATCCCGAGCACTGTGCTATGGAGGAGAGCCTACAGTGCCAAGTTCACCACAGGATAGGTGATCTCCACACCGCGTGAGGAGGTGTAGGCCAAGAAGAGACAGAGGACCTGGCCAGGGCAGCCAGCCTCGAGGCAGTTCTGGCTCACGGCTACTTTGGCCCCAGGCCACTTTCGGTGAGAAGAAGGAGCTACCGCGTTCTTACAACTCCAGGAGGCTGTAACCTCGACCCCGGCAGAAACTATCTCTTGTTCAAATTGCAAAGTGTTCAATAAACATGTAGAATTCTCGCAAAGCTAACCTTGGCCTACAGTGCTTCTCCTTGTTTTTCAAACAGGCCAACCAGAGCTTGGCGGGCCACATTAACTCATTCCAGGTCTGTCACGTCCAACCAGAGGCCAGGGTCTGCGGCTCTTCTTCCAGCTGCCGCTGACCACCGCCTAGGACGAGAGGTGAAGTTCATCACAATTCCCTCTCGGCCTCCGCGCCAATGACGAGAACACAGGGACTTTATCCCCAGGAAACAAACACTCGCATCACGATCAACGCAAAATCGACACGTGTTGAACACGTTGGTGCCTGGCGTTCTGCCCGCGAAGCGGCGACTCCCGGCTCTGCGGGCCTCAGAACCTCCCGGCCGGCCGCCAAGTCGCAACGCCGCGGACCGCCCTCCGCGCAGGCGCGAGCGTCCTCTTCCGCCCGGGGCGGGGCGGGGAGGGGCGGGGCTGGCGCGCCGGGGGCGGGGCCGGGAGGCTGGCCGCTGGCGCCCGTATGGAGCTCGGGGGTCGTCGGGGCCGGGGCTCGGCCCTGGGGCCAGCCTCGGCGACCCCAGTGCTGCGGCAGGAGCGGGGGCCGGGGGCCGGGAAGCCGGGTAGCGCCGGAGCCCGCCGCTTCCTGCTCTGTCTCTACCTGGTGGGCTTCTTGGTGAGTGCGCGCGCTGGGGCTGATGGTGTCAGGGACTTGGGACCCCAGGCTGAGGAGCCATTTTTTTCCATAGAGCCCCTGGAGGTTTGAGAAGCTCAGCCCGGGACTGGGAATTCGAGATCTGTCTGGTCTGGTACCTTCTTACCTCTCACGTCTTATCACGGCTTTCATCATGCACCTGGCCGTTCGCGCGGCCTTATTGCTGTTCCCGCGTTCGGGGGCCCAGTCTGCGGCTGCCCCTGCTGCTTTTCACAGCTGCCCGCCCCGGAACCACCCCCAGGTGGGGCTCCTTGACCTAAGGGCTCTGGGGGGTGGACCCCAGGTGTTAAATGCTGTGTCAGGTGCACTGCTTGCAGGGCAGGTAGCAGGAGCTCCGAGCAAGCTTGAAAAAGCCCAAGCTACTGCCGGGCTGCTCGTGCGGTGGGGACACTCAGAGCTTTTTACCAGACCAAGTTAAGGGGCTGCTTTGAATATTCGCAGCTTCTTACCTGTTTTGCATATGCTGTGCTCAGAGCAAGTCTAATCCAACTAGCCCCGTGTAAGTTTTTACTATCTTCAATAATATAGCCGAGAGAATGATTAGCTGTGTCTGATATCTTAAGCGGGGGAAAAAAAATGTAAGATTTCCTAAAAGTTAAAAGGCAGTAGAGATTTTTTAATGGAAAATGTTATAATAATAAATAATTAAAATATATGAAGCTGTTTGCATCCTTGTAGGATCTAATGTCTGCTAGGTAGTATCTAGGGAACGTTATATACAATTTAGTTAATGATTTTGGTATGTATGGAAATGTAAAAATCCTTAAGACTTTCAGGAAAATGGTTTCTGGTTGGGAAAGAAGGGGGTGAGATAACAGAAGTCATGGTCAGGTTTAAATTTGTTTCAGAGGGAAGATGAAGATGACCTTTCCGCTTTGTTTAGGCTGCTAAGATCAGTGATGTAAGCACTATCTTTCCTGCAGATACCTGGTGTGGTCTGTATTCCATTTCATCAGCTTTGGGCAGATGGCAGTTCATATTTATTGAGTTAGTCTTTCAGCCAAGAAATAGTGGGATTCCTATCCTCTATGCGTTCATCGGTTTTCACTGGAAGATGCTGATATGGAAGGTTTGACTTGATTTCCTTATAAAGGGATAAGCGCATGACTAGTTGCCCAATGCATGATATACGCAAAACGATGGTTGTTTTAGGATGTTACGGATTCAGGAGAGAAGCTGCCTTTTACACTGAAGAAGACAATTTTAGAACAAATTCCTTTGAGGAAAGAGCCAGAAGCCGGCCTTCTTGGGAAAAGAGAGCAGTTTTCAGAATCACAAAGTACTAAAAAAATACCAATCATTGTTAAGGATTATGAATCTGTATTTTCATGTCTGCATTCCGTAGATCACAGCCTGTTGATTTTATTTAAAATAACCATTTGAATATCAAATAACATGTACTAGAATGCTTTTTAAAATGTTATTGAACAATTGACCTTTTCTGAAAGAACCAGAAGACTCAGTTGTTGGCTTATGCATTATGATTTTTTAATCATATAAACATCAGCAGGTTGTCAGGACAAAACTGACCATAGGAAATTTTTTTTAATGATTTGTTTATTTGAAAGGAAGAATTACAGAGAAAGAGGGAGATGTGGTGGGAGAGATCTTCCATCTGCTTGTTCACTCACCAAATAGCTACAATGACCATGACTGGACCAGGCCAAAGCTGGAAGCCTGGAACTCCATCCACGTATCCAGTGGGAGTGCAGGAACCTAAGTACTTGGGCCAACTTCCACCGCTTTCCCAGACACATTAGCAGGGAGATGAATCAGAAGTGGAGTAGCTAGGACACAAATCAGCGTCCAGATGGGATGATGACATTACAGGTGGCAGCTTAACCCAGTGTACCACAATGCTGGCCTGAGGAAATGTTAAATAATCATGTAAAATTTAAATAAAATACCATAGGTCTGGTAGTGCAAATTTATGAGCTATTGATGATCACTGAATTTTACATATATGTCCTCCTCAAGATGTATCCATGGAAAAAGACCACCAAAGTGTAGGCAGAAGTCCACATTTCTAGAGTCATGTGAATGCACAGCTACCAGCATTGGGGAGGCAAAACATTAACCAGGACCTAAACATGTTTTTCCATGCATGTTCTTTGTTTTAATAACTAGGTTTATAGGAGGAGGAATTCAGGTTGGATATAAAGAAAACTACGTGTATAATATGTTTTCCTTCCTCTAAAGCAGATGTAGCAGGTAAACAGATGAAGTAAGAATGAGAATGAAATATAAGAGAAAAATTCATAGTCTTTCTGTAACTTAGTATATTAGCAAAAAGGATCCATCCTCATCCCAAAACTCAAGAAAGCAGATAATGCTTGTCTATTGGAGCTTCTGTAGTGTGCCAGCCCTTTCCCACCATGAGTTTCCTCATGTTTCAACCAGGCAGGTGTTATTATTCCATTGTCTGATGATGAGGGCATTGGAGCTTGGTAATGTTACTTCCCCAGAACACACTTTAGTAAGTAATAGAGCTGGAATTGAGAACTGGCAGTCCTACCCCAAAGCCCATGCACTTTCTATGACGTAATTGCAAAAATATTGGCTGCAAGTGGACCAAGCTTCCCTCTCCTCTCCACTTGCTGAGACTTTCTGCTGGGTGTTACCTCATGAAAATATAAACCACATCCTAGGACATTAGTCATCTTCTATAACTACAGAAGGAAAACATTTAAAAAAAATTATTTGAGAAATAGAAGGGGATTCTTATCCCTGGATAACTCTGCAAATGCCTCCCTTTTTTTTTTTTATTTTTTGACAGGCAGAGTGGACAGTGAGAGAGAGAGAGAAAGGTCTTCCTTTGCCGTTGGTTCATCCTCCAATGGCCGCCGGGGCCAGCGCGCTGCAGCCAGCGCACCGCGCTGATCCGATGGCAGGAGCCAGGTGCTGCTCCTGGTCTCCCATGGGGTACAGGGCCCAAGCACTTGGGATATCCTCCACTGCACTCCCTGGCCACAGCAGAGAGCTGGCCTGGAAGAGGGGCAACCGGGACAGAATCCGGCACCCCGACCAGGACTAGAACCCGGTGTGCTGGTGCCGCAAGGCGGAGGATTAGCCTAGTGAGCCGCGGCGCCGTCCGCAAATGCCCATTTTTACAGCTGAAACCAGGAGCCTGAAATGCAGTCCAGGTCTCCCACATAAATGGCAGGAACCCCATTATTTGAACCATCTCCACTGAATCTCAGGTTGTGAATTAGCAGGAAGCTGGAGTCAGGAGTCAGAGCTGGGAACCAACCCAGGTACTCCATTGTGGGATGAGAGTGTCTTAACTGCTAGGCTAAACATCCACTTCAGAAATTCTTAGTTTTAAGCAAGTGCTGCTTCACTAATAAGTATGAATTATTCCTCTCTCCTCTGCCTCTTCCTATCCATAGAAAATTGGAAGTGTGTCTGTTTTCTTTGAGGAACTTGTGTAACATATTCTCTTTGAATCTTCAAAGGCAGTTACAAAGATGCTAAAGTTAAAATGCATCCTACCACATGGTAGCTAAGGAAGTTTTAAGTGGCAGTTGGTTAGCATGATGTACTTTAGGATACAATGATGATATCTTGTTTTTGCAAAATCTTAGATTCACTTTATTTTAAAAATGTGTTCATAATTTTAGATTTACCTATTTAGAAATCCTTAGGACATGACCTGAGTCCTTCTGTTTGTTTGCTTTTAGGATTTGTTTGGTGTCAGCATGGTTGTCCCTTTATTGAGCCTTCATGTCAAGTCCCTTGGAGCAAGTCCAATAGTTGCTGGAATAGTAGGTGAGTGGTTAATAATGCTTACATTCAGAGCACTCAATTTTAAATCTCTAAGTCCTGAAAACAGCCCAGCTTTCTAGGAAATGGGATAAAATTAATCTATAGAATAGTTAAACACATTCACTTGGAGTAATCTTTCCTAGATCTCTCAAGGATACTTTTGTTCAGAAGGTTGTGGGGTTTGAGCATTATCTCCATACTCTGATATTACCAGTGACATAACAGGTACTTACTGAGCCCATTCAAAGAGCTGGCCCTGTGTAGATTAAAGGATAGGTGTGGACTCCTGCTTGTAGAATCTCTCACCTAATGTGGAAGACCAGATAAACAATGTACAGAAATCACAACTGTGGTAAATGGCTTGGATTTCCACACCACCCCAACATATCTTAGGGACCTAATGGATTTTTCTGCTTATATGGCATAAAAATTCCATCCCGAAGTCATTGATTCACAAAAGGAACGGGAAATAACAAGTCTTAGGTCTGTGCTAATTTTTATTTTTTTTATTTTTTAATTTTTTAAAAAGATTTTATTTATTTGAGAGAGTTACAGACAGTGAGAGGAAGAGACAAAGAAAGGGCTTCCCTCCGTTGGTTCACTCCCTAAATGGTCTCCTCCTGGTCTCACACGTGAGTGCAGGAGCCCAAGGACTTGGGCCGTCTTCTACTGCTTTCCCAGGCCAAAGCAGAGAGCTGGGTTGGAAGAGGAGCAGCCGGGACTTGAACCGGTGCCCATATGGGATGCCAGCGCCGCAGGTGGAGGATTAACCTGCCGGCCCCAGATCTGTGCTAATTAATGAGAAATCATTACGTTTGATCATTTACAAGGTGGACAAGCAAATGTTTTGGGACAGTCCTGTACATACCTGCTGAATCCTGATCCATGCAATGATTTGTGTTTCCTCCAAGAGTGTGCTGAGAATTGTCTAGACGGTTCAGCAGCATGAATATAATAGGAATATGTTACATGATAATGGAAGTACAGAACTCTGTTAAACTTTAAACTAATTATAAAGTTAAAATATTTTTTAAAATTTTAAAGACATAGGAGATAGTGTTAACATTTTAAGGGAGAATTTTTCTAGGATTCTGATTTCTACTCCACTGAGTTGTCTCGAGGCATTTTGAAAGTTGGAGTCATGTGGTTCTCACATGAAAGACTATCTCTCTGGGTCCCTAATGTCAATCCTGGCCTTTATTCTCTCTTCTGCTTATATTCAATTTTATTTTAAACACCTCTTACTAAACATTTTTTAATTTCTTCCAACTAGGAAACATAAATACATTGGGGCAATTTCCTTCTTTTTTTTTTTTTCAAAGATTAATTGATTTATTTGAAAAGTAGAGTGACAGAAAGAGAGTGTTCGTCCATCCACTGGTTTATTCCTCGAATTCCTATAACATCAGAGTTGGGCCAACATGAAGCCAGGAGCCAAGAACTCCATCAGAGACTCCTACATGAGTGGCTGTGTCCCCAGTACCTATACCATCTTCAGCTTCCAGGTGCATTACCAGGGAGCTACAACAAAAGCCAAACAACCAGGACTTGAACCTGCACTCTGATATGGGAAGTGGATGTCACAGTGCTGTTTTAAAACACTGTGTCACAATGCTGCCCTCCACCCCTTTATTTACATTTTAAAAAGTGGACTTTTCCTCTCTGCTATCTTTCTATTTCCATGTAATTGTTACCACATAATCCATTTGGGGGATAGGTCTAGCTGATTTGATTGATATTAGTGCTGTTCTTTTACAGGGTCCTCCTATGGCATTTTGCAACTCTTTTCCAGCACCTTGGTGGTAAGTTATCATTCAACTGGCCACCTGTCTTGAAAACACAAGCATATGCCTCTGAGGGTCCTCCTTCATGGCTATAGTAAAATTTAACAGTTGAAGTCCACCAGACAGTAAGTGTGTGGATGATGAGAATTTACAGTCGTGATCAAGAAGGATCCCTTTGTCCTGTATCTCACTCATTTTACCAGTGAAAAGATACAGACCTAAGGGACTTAGATGACTTTATTCTGAATGGAACACATTGAATCAGTGATAGATTTGAGTTAAAAACAGTTTCTAATGTGATTCCCAAGTAACTTTCTACTATATACAGGAATGTAAACAAAAGGTATTACCAGTTTTATTGTTTGTTTCTTAATTGACAGTAAATCCATTAAGATTTGTAGGATTCTCTGAGGTTGTGCATGCTGAACTTAATGCTTCATTATAATACGTAAGTGTATGGACAAAGAAGCCTTTAGCAATGATTTGCTAACTGCTACATGAAGTAGAAAACCCTTGAGGTGATCTTGTCACTCTCCTGCCCTTGACCACTCAGTTTGGAAGGCAGACACATTAAGTGATCTTTTTCTTCTCTGGCCCTTGTGGGGTCTATTACGGTCTTGAGACCCCAGTGTCCAATGGCTCATGTCATTCAGTAGAACAGTTTAGTCTCACAGATTGGTCATTAGTGACTGCAGTCTGAATACTGGCTTGGAGAACTCACATTTATTGAACACATTGTTGCTGTAGTGCTCTGAGTTTCCCAGGTGTTGCTTTTTTGTACGTTTTTCAAAGAAATGTGATCAAATCCCATAGTGACTTCCTAGATAAGTAAACTGTTACTCTGATTTATCTTAAGTAAGCAAATAGCTCCTCCCTGATGTATGTTCTTTGTTGAGAATAACAGTAATAGGTTTATTGTCATTTAAGCTTTATAATAACCTTGCAAAATAGTTTAGTGTCTCTCTTCTTAAGAGGAAAATTAAGAAAATGTGAGGAAATTAAGATTCACAGAGTTTAAATAATTTGACTAAGTCACCGAAAGTCAGTATCCAGACTCTAAACCCATATAATTTTTTTTTTCCCTGTAAGTCATCTGCCATTACCTTACAGGGAAGTAAATAAGTAGCTGAAGTCAGATTGTACGGAGGGTGGAGCACTTGCTTGGCAGGCATGACGTCTTATTCCATACTGTTTTCTTGTGAGTGAAAAATCAGGGCTATTTCTTGGTAAACAGCTCTTCTTCAGCTTTATTTGGGAACTCCCAAAATATTTGATGTGTACATATGGTAAAGCCCTTGCTTGTTAGGCTGCAGTGTATGCTTATCGTTCAAGTTTTTTCCCCTCCTTCTGGACTCTGGCCCTAGGTATAAAGACCAAGCTCCATAAGTTTTTTTTTTTTTAATCAGTGCATAGTACATATCAGAGTACTTGGCACAAAATTATCATTTTATGAATGTAAATTTGTATTGTCAATTACGATCCTACCCTGTTTCTCAAAATGATCCTTTGTTTTATTATGTTTGTGTTTATAAAGTACATTTCATATAGCTACTAGCTAGATTTTAATGAAAACCTTCCTTATAAATCCTTCACATAGAGAAATACCTAGTTAAACTTTCCTTTGTCACAAACACTTTGCTAAGCTCATTTTTATTTATCAATTTTATAGAGAAATGATTTAGGGATGGTTGTTTGGCCTAGAGGATACACTGCCAGTTAGGACAGCTGAATCCAATATTGTGGTGCCTGGGTTTGAGTCCCAGCTCCTGATGCCAGCTACCTGGTAATGTAGACCCTGGGAAGCAGCAGGTGAGGGCGGTAGTGGTTAGGTTCTCTGCCGTTCCCTTGGGAGAGCTGGGTAGAGTTCCTGGCTCTTGCCCTTCAGCCAGCCCAGTCCCAACCATTGCGAGCATTTGAGGAATGACCACTATATGAGAGCTTCTTTCTTTCTTTCTCTCTGTCTCTGTCTCTCTCTCTCTCTCTCTCTCTCTCTCTGTCTCCACTTTGCCAAAAACAAAAAGTGACCAGAAAGTTTTAATAAAAATCTTTATGAGGGTTTTCTATGGCTTGACAATTGTATTTTAATAAAAATGACTGCTCTTGGTTAGTATTATTCAGTACAACTGAATGTCAAGCCCTGTCCTGGGCACTTGACTGCGTCTAATGCTCATAGAAGCATCCACAGAGTGTGATTGTGGGTCTTTAATGACTAATTTTATATTGAATAGGTGTTACTCCTGTTTTACCCACAGAGAAACTGATGCTTAGAGAGATTAACTAATGTGTCCAATGCCATGATGTAGGGAATGATAAGAGTTCAAAGTTGAACCCAAGCAGCCTTGTCCTGGTGTAAGTACCAGATGATAACACAGTCCTGTAAACACAAGGAGGCCTGTGATTCCTTACTCTGATTAAACGAGTAGGGGGGTTTCTAAAATCCACCAGAATCAAAATTGGGGAAAAGCATTGATGACATTTGTAGCAGTGTAATTAGGCAGGCTACCTAAAGGGTTCTTGGCTAACATGGATGCTAATGAAAACACTCAGATGATGGACTGAGCTGTAAACAGAAAATTTATTTGGGTTGGCCATGCCAGAAACCACATTGTCTCATGACTGGAAACCAGGCTCTCTGAATAACGGAGAGTTGCAGGTTTTATGGAGTTAACTTTAGGAGACTAGTGCATATTTGTTAAGTTTTGGGGAAGTTCTGGTAAAGATTATGCATGAATTAAAAGGGGACAGGCATGTATGTCCTCCAAGTTATACATGTGTTACATGTGTTCCATGTTGAGGGCTCAGATGCGAGAGTTTCTGCCTTTCTGTGTCAGAAAGATGAAGGTGAAGCTACAGTTGCCCCTTGTGTGCAGGCTTCTCAAGCCGGCCATGGATGCATCAGGGCCTGTGCCTTCTTTGTTAGAAGTGTCCATTTTTGAGTAGCATCTTATGCTAGTCAGCTGCCTCACGTCCATCTCCACAAACACCTGCTTATCCTCCACCAGGGTATGATTGAGATTAGGGTACTGAGAGTGGAGAGGATTGTTAGAAAGCTAACAATATTTTGGAGAATTCACCCTGAAAATGTTTTGTGTGTGTGCATTCTTTTTTTGTTGTTTGTTTTTTGTTTTGTTTTTGAAATTTATTTATTTGAAAGACAGAGTTACATACACACACACACACACACACACACAGAGAGAGAGAGAGAGAAAGAGATCCTCCATCCACTGGCTCACTCCCCAGATGGCCACAATGGCTAGGACTAGGCCAGGCCAAATCCAGGAGCCCAGAGATTCTTCTCCATCTTCCACATGGGTTCAGGGACCAAGCACTTGGGCCATCTTCCTCGCTTTCCGATGTCCATTAGTAGGGAGCTGGATCAGAAGTAGAGCAGTTCTGACTTGACCCAATGCTCATGTGGGATGTTGGTGTTGCAGGAGGCAGCTTAATCTGCTGAACTCCCTGCCTTCCCCCGCCACACACACACATTTTATAATAGAGGAATTTTAACACAGTTAATATTCTTATATAATATGATATTTAGGCTCCTTCCAAAAAGATAAGTATATAATTTAAAAATCAAGAAAGGGCATGCAGCTCTCTGCTATGGCCCGGGAGTGCAGGGGAGGATGGCCCAAGTCCTTGGGCCCTACACCCGCATGGGAGACCAGGAAAAGCACCTGGCTCCTGGCTTCCGATCAGCACGATGCGCTGGCCACAGCGCACCGGCCGCAGCAGCCATTGGAGGGTGAACCAACGGCAAAAGGAAGACCTTTCTCTCTGTCTCTCTCTCTCTCTCACTGTCCACTCTGCCTGTCAAAAAAAAAAGGGGGGGGGGGCATGAATGGATATAGTTAGCCTTTTACAAGAAAGAAACAGGCTGAGATGGGCCGGCGCCGTGGCTCAATAGGCTAATCCTCCACCTTGCGGCGCCGGCACACCGGGTTCTAGTCCCGGTCGGGGCGCCGGATTCTGTCCCGGTTGCCCCTCTTCCAGGCCAGCTCTCTGCTATGGCCAGGGAGTGCAGTGGAGGATGGCCCAGGTGCTTGGGCCCTGCACCCCATGGGAGACCAGGAAAACCACCTGGATCCTGGCTCCTGCCATCGGATCAGCGCGGTGCGCCGGCTGCAGCGGCGGCCATTGGAGGGTGAACCAACGCCAAAGAAAGACATGTCTCTCATCTGTCTCTCTCTGTCCACTCTGCCTGGTAAAAAAAAAAAAAAAAAAAAAAAAAAAGAAA